TATTTCTATTTTTTATTTTTTAAATTTCTGGAGGCCTCCAAAAAATTAAAAAATTTAAAAAATTCAAAATTATGTATTTTTTTAATGTTTTAAATTTCTGGAGGCCTCCAAACATTTTTAAAAAATAGTTTCCTGACCTCTCCCTAACCCATTTCCAGGATATTTAAAAAATTTCAAAAATTCAAATAATTTAAAAATTCAAACAATTTAAATATTTATATTGTTGAATTTATTGAAAATTTCTGGAGGCCTCCAAACATTTGAAAAAACATATAAATAGTTTCCTGGGCTCACCTGGGCCAGTTCCAGGATATTAAAAAAAATTAACAGATTCAAATAATGTAAAAAATTCAAAATTTAAATATTTATATTATTGAAATTTTTTAAATTTCTGGAGGCCTCCAAAAATTAAAAAATTTAAAAATTCAAATAATATTTATATTTTTTAAATTTTTTAAATTTCTGGAGGCCTGCAAAAAATTTAAAAAAGTTAAAAAGTTTAAAAATATAAATAGTTTCCTGGGTTCTCTTTGGGCTAGTTCCAGGATATTTAAAAAATTTAAAAAATTCAATTAATTTAAAAAATTCAAAAAAATTAAATATTTATGTTTTTCAATTTTTTCCATTTCTGGAGGCCTCCAAAAGTTTAAAAAAAACTATAAAATATAAATAGTTTCCTGGGTTCTCCCTGGGCCAGTTCCAGGACATTTACAAAATTCAATAAATTCAAATAATTAAAAAAATCAAATAATTTAACTATTTATAGTTTTTAAAGTTTTTTAAATTTTTGGAGGCCTCCAGAAATTTACAAAAAATAAAATACAAATAATTGAATTACTTGAATTGTTTAAATTATTTGATTTTTTTAAGTTTTTATATTTTTGGAGGCCTCCAGAAATTTAAAAAATTTAAAAAATATAAATATTTAAATTATTTGAATCTTTTAAATTAATTGAATTTTTTAAATTTTTTAAATATCCTGGAACTGGCCCAGGGAGAACCCAGGAAACTATTTATATTTTTTAGTTTCTTTAAACTTTTGGAGGCCTCCAGAAATTTAAAAAATTTCAAAAATATAAATATTTAAATTTTTTGAATTTTGTAAATTAATTGAATTTTATAATTTTTTAAGTATCCTGGAACTGGCCCAGGGAGAACCCAGGAAACTTTTTATCTTTTTAAACTTTTTAATTTTTGGAGGCCTCCAGAAATTTAAAAAATTTAAAAAAATATAAATATTATTTGAATTTTTAAATTTTTTAATTTCTGGAGGCCTCCAGAAATTTTAAAAAAAATATTTAAATTATTTGAGTTTTTTGTTAAACACATTTTTTGCTTTTTACAATTTTTTAAATATCCTGGAACTGGCCTAGGGAGAACCCAGGAAACTATCTATTTTTATTTTATTAAAAAACCAAAAAAACGGAGGCCTCCAGAAATTTAAAAAATAAAATAAAAATCATTGTTTTTTTGATTTATCTATTTATTTATTTATTTTAATATGAGGGAACTGGCCCAGGGAGAACACGGGAAACTATTGTTCAGGGCCTTGGGCGACACATAGGCCCAATTCTTCCCTCTTACGGGGGGGGGCGGCAGCCCCCCCCCATGATGTTCGAAGAAGGGATGATTCAACAAAGGGTGGTGATGATGGAAGAAGCGATGATTCAGCAAAGGGTGCGGTCATCTTTGTAAACATTTTGAACATCAGCAGGGGGGTTGGGGGGTGCCGCCCCCCCCATGATGCTCCAAGACGTGATGGTTCAACAAAGGGTGATGATGATCGAAGAAGTGATGATTCAGCAAAGGGTGCGTTAATCACTGTCAACCTTCTACAAATCAGCGGAGTGGTTGGGGGGGTTCCTTCCTTCCTTCCTTCCTTCCTTCCTTCCTTCCTTCCTTCCTTCCCTCCTTCCTTCCTTCCTTCCTTCCTTCCTTCCTTCCTTCCTTCCTTCCTTCCCCCCATAGGAATGAGCATAAGTCTTTTTTGATGCATAATATGTCTTTTTTGATGCTTAATATGTTTTTTGTTGATGACTAATAAGTTTTTTTGATGCCTACCCCCCTCTTCGCGGCATCCGGCGACAGCGCCGGGTCCTCACACGCGTGCCAGTCGCAACATCAGGGCAGCGTTTTTTTGCGAAGGCAAGAAGGTCGCGTAGCACGTGCACTCAAACGCACCAGTTCTACTACCACGACAACCACAACTTCAGTTGGCTATTCAGCCAAATTCCTCGACCAGTCGACTCATCTGGGGGGCGATGTTCCACAGCCTCCCCCGAAATTCACTTCCACCTGTACCTAAGGATAACGACGATGAAATGCAAGAAGCAGGTGCACCAGCCAATCAGTACCAGCACCATCATCGAATGATCCTCCGCCACTTCCGTCCGATCTCCTCACCAGGACTAAGTTCTTCACCAGGCATTCCGCCTTCGCCGACACAAAAAGATGATTTTGGAAAAGAGGAAGAATCCTCTGAGGAAGTCCAGGAAGAACCGGAGAGCTCTGATTCTCAAAGAACCCGTCGGTACACCGACGAAGATTCAGACCTGGCACTAGATGAAGCACTGTGGACAGTTCACTCATGATCAGCAGGTGCGCCGCAACACTGGGCCATTCACTGCTCCAAGAGATATCGAGGATAGACCCATTAGTCTCCATTCCGCTGAGATCTACAACAAGCTCACCCACGTTCTTCGCGCACGCGCGGGAACACAACAAGTACGACATTGAGTCGGCCCCAGCGACGCTCACACTGTATACAGTGAGACAGGAGTCCCTCAAGCCTTCCACCACACAAGAGCTAATCAGAAAAGAAACGCAAGGAAGCAACACCACAAGAAACCAAAGCATATACAAAACAATTCCTTGGAGCAAAGCAGCTGGAGTGCACATCCTGGCTAGACAACAAAATGATTCAACTTGGTCGACACCAGGAAACTCCGAGTCAAAAGACTTGGAAACTGGAAGATGGGTCTTAACCATCAAAACAGACAAGGAAGGTAACTTCCTCAAGACCAAGGCACGCTGGGTGCGAGAGGACGTCAAGATCGCCAAAAGAATGAACAACAAACGGACAGCCCAGCAGCTTCAAGAAGTGGATTCAGATTAGCAGCTCAGGTGGCGGCAAACAAAGGGTGGAACATATTCCACATGGACCTGAAGACGGCACCCCTCATATAGAGGAGCCCGTTTGAAGAAACCTGCTTACAAACTCAATGATCCACCAAGGCGATGGTGGGACATTCTTGATTCATACGGCCTCGTGCCCACTCGTTCGTGCGGATCGCTGCACCTACGTCTACTATGGCGAGAAGATCACCTTTGAAAATCAGATAAAAGCTTTACATGATCAAGATTTATCCAGTAAAACTAAGTATTTTAGAAAATTGTTAAAAGAAGGGTATAAACTAGATGATATACTGCACGAGGTGTTTGCAGTTTTAGGGAGGCCACATTTAGACTGCTCAAGACAAAGGGTTGTAACTCAAAAGGCCAAGCTCACTTGAAAGTAAGACACAAATTTATTGACTCAACGGTTCTGACATGCAAAGAGAATAAAACGGTTCATGGTTCCTCAAAGGAATCTTCAATGGAGGTCTGCTTCAGTGAATGCTAGAAACGGTGTACCTCGTATGAAATATTCTCTGCTGGGGAAGTGCAAGCGTAAGGACCAATTTACACAAAGCCGGCTGGCAGCCGGGCATTCGCAACCTCCAATATTCCGGCCTGGCCGACTACGGAGGGTCGGCCCTCAGCGCGTCCGGCCGGCTGTGCCGAGTGATGCTGTAGTGAAACTCCTCAACGTCGCCAGCCAAGAGAATTCTATGGCAGCAACGAAGGAGCAACAAGCTCCGCTGCCAAACTGCTCTAAACTGCTTTCCTTCGCGGCTCCTTGCGAAAATTGCAAACGGGCAGGCAAACTTGGACCCAGATAATAATCGGACGCGGCTGATATAGACCTAGGCGCTGACCAGGCTGCGGCACCAGGACGGCACACCCGTCTTTCGGGTGGAGGAGTGTAAGCCATTGCTGGGGCGCAGCGCACCGCCGCGCATGGAGGCGGAGAGGCCACGCTGCGGCGGTGGCGCGAGGTGGAGGACCCCCTGGAGCACAGCGCGGCCGGCAACTCCCTGTTGCTCACCGGCCTGCCGGGCACCGGGAAGACGTACCTTGCGCGCAAGATCGTGGCGCGGCTCCGCGAGCAGGGCGAGGCGGTGCACCTGGTGTCGAAGACGCATTGCTCTGCGCAGAACCTGGGGCTCGGCGCGCAGACGGCCGACCACTGGGTGCGCAGGTACGTCCGCAACGGGAGCGTGCAAAAACTCAACTGGCTCGTGGTCGAGGAGATCACCCAGCTGGACATGGCGCTCTGGGCGGACCTGGCGTGTGTGGGGCTGAACCCCGACGTGAAGTTCCTGCTGCTTGGCGACTTCCGGCAGCTGCCCGCGGTGCTGGGCTCCTGGGCCGGGCAGCCCATCAGCGCCCCGCTGGAGCATAGCCAGCTGGTGCTGGACCTCGCAGGCGGCCACCGGCACGAGCTCACCGAAAACATGCGCTCCGACCCCGGGATCTTCGATTTTGTGAAGTGGCTGGGGGTGGGCGAGCCCGACGCGCCCGCGCTGGAGGAGGCCAAGGCGCGGGGCCGGAGATCTCTTAGCCGCCAAGCTAGGGTGGACGGAGAGGACCCTGCTAATCAGCCACGCGCGGCGGGTGGCCGTGAACGCGGCAGCCAACCGGGCCCTGCAGCCACCGGGCGCCAAGCTCTTAGTACTGGAAATGGGTGTTGTGGAAATTGCTCTGGCGCCCGAGAGCCAATCGCAGAGCCCGCAGAACCGATCAGCAGATCATCTGGTTGTAAAATACTATCAGCTGCAATTCTGGTTGATATGGGTCCAAGTTTCATCTTTAGCACTGAGCTGACACTTCTCAATTCATATCATGTCTCTGCACGTGTCTTCGCGCCTCTTCCCTTTTTTCCACTCTGTGGCGCAGGCGTGCCGCTGAAGGAGCCCAACAGGGATGCAGCCACGCCGCCTCAGAGGGGAACTGTGAAACTGAAGCCCAAGGGAGACAACCAACGGTCTTCAATGTGGTCCTCCAAAACAAGAACAACATAGTCATATAAACCTACACTGAGACATATGTACACAAACGCACACATGCATATGTGCGTGAGTTGCATATGTAAACGCAACTATTCACAAACCCGTTTCACACACGATTTTCACAATATGCTCTTGGCCCCCGCGCCCTGCCAGCCCATGTCCCTGGCCGAACTCAGGCCCCCCCAGTGCTAGGCAGGTCGGCTCGGTCTCAGGCAAGAAGCAGGTCTTGGGCCTCTCAATCCATTGCTCATCGCTGCCCCGGATAGCAGTGAGACCGTGAGCGTGTACCATCAAAACCCATCCGTCTGTCGCGTCCGGTACGTTGCGTAGCTTTTCACGTTCAGTCAAATTGCACCTTCGGTCCACTTCGTCAATCTGCTGGTCACTCAGTTGCACAGAGCTTGTGTGTGAAGGACAAGCCTAGGCTACCCAATCAGCTCCAGCCAAGATGGATGAGAAGAAGCACAAACTTAAATGATAGTTACGCATATCCATATCGCATACGAAACATCACCCCGCAAACATGGACATGCACAAAAGAAAAAGCACCTCGAAGCGTATAACATGGCGTAAGAACCTGATGTTCCACTGGCAACACATGTGCAAGGAGCAAGTGCGTCCGTCTCCTTCTCCAGCATCCCTCTTAGAGCGAAATGACAGGCTAGCAAAGGCACGAGTTTTCCAAGGTATGTGACACACGCTCTTCCCACAGCTCGGAGCATCAATCAGCCTTGCGCAAGCCTATGTACATTTTCTCGCCGCTCACTTTCCTGACCAGGTCAAGGTGCGCAAGCTTCAATGAATCCCAAAAACGCAGAAACCAGGTCACGGAAGTCAAAGTGATGAGAGAATACATTCACAGCCAGCTTCACTCCCATCGATGTGTGCCACACGCACAACTCATGCAAGAACCATGGCCTCGACCTTTGTAGCCCTGAGCGTGAGCAAAGAGAGAGGTCCCAAATGGCAATTCAAATGTTCTAAGGCAGGAACATATGCGTCGTATGCACCGTATGCACCGTACGTATTATGTCCCCCTTGCCGCAAAGCTGCATGCACCGTTGCGGTCACAGCTGTTTTCGCCGCACCTCGACCATCCCAATAGCCGTACCAATCCTCATGGAGGCACTGCGGACACTGGCGCCGTGACTGGCCGACGCACGGCCCACATGGCCCACACGGCCCCTGCCTGCCACGGCCACCACCCCTTGTAACTTATCTCGCCTTGGACAGAAAAATGCGCTTAGCTCGTGATCTGAAAGCCTCGGGCAGGCACCCTTGCCTTTTCCCTTCTCGTTCCTCACCCGCAGCCCAGCACCCCCAAAAAATTCAAGAATGAAAGAGCTTGCTTCAAGCAAGAGTCTGCGCGTTGTGACTCCTCCCTTTGTCTTTGCCCTTTCCACCCTTGCCACTTTTGCCTTTGCTGCCGCTCTTGGCGTCTTTGCCCTCCTTGCCCTCCTTGCCCTCCTTTCCCTTGTGGCCCTTGCTCTTCTGCCTGTCCTTCAGCTTGGGCAATCCCGCAAATCAGAACGCCTGACCGCCTGAATGTAAATACCGCCTTGCAATCTTCAAATTATCAATGCAATCACAAGTCGGCAACGCAAAAGCAACCCACAACCAAGCGCTCCTCACTTCTGGCTTCCTCCCAGGACCACGTCTCAAAAGGTACTCCGTCCACGACACTTCCTGGCTGCGCATGCCCCGTCAGCCCCGGCAGACACGACCTGACTTTTCCGCAACGCATTCTGTTTGAGCACGATTGTTCTTGAGAAGCATCTGTCTCTTCAACTTTGATCTTTGATCTTGAACTAGCTGTAAGCCACAAATCGGAGCCCGCCTACGTTGATGGACCTGCCGCCATCCAAGGTCCGAAACTTCCGGATCTCTCGCAAGCGTCGCTCCTGATTGAAAACTCCAAGGGAAAGGGTATGAGAAGAAGGGGAACAAAAGGGGAACCAAAGAAGAGAAGGATGAAGGAGGTCAAACTCCGTGAATGATTTGCTTTGCCCGAAAATCGCAACGCCCGGCTGTACGATCATGGGGCTATCCCCGAGAGAAGTTCAGCGCCGCAACGCCCATTCGCATGAAACAAAACCGGAAACAATTTGAAAGGACACGCGCGCCTGCATTACGGCCGCCCCTTTGGCACACCATCGGGCACGCACGAGTTGGACCCTTTGGCACACCAAGCGGACCGTTGGCGCTGAGAATTTGGATGCGGCCGGACCGACAAGAACCGAACGGACATGGACGGGCACTCAAGCCAGAACTTACTTAAACCTTAATCTACTTCCTTGGAACTTCTTGGCTTGGCGTTGCAGACCTTTGCAAATGGCGTTTTGTGCAAGACGTCGATATTGGCGGGCCTGTGGCCCGAGTCTGCACGCCCTTTTGCACTCCGAAAGACATTTTGCTGCGTGATGTTTCAGCTTCAAAGCCACTCGAGCCTTGCGAATCTCCGCAACGGTGTCCACTGTGCATCCTCGGAACGTACCGTCGAAGTCACCCGCTCGCCGTGGTTCGGGGGCTAATTTAAGAAACCGGCTCTCAGGCAGCAAGTCTACAGCAACTCGCTGCAGGCAGTAAAGCCGCCGGTTGTCCAAAGTAAACCAGCTCTCCTGGCAGGTGTGGCGCGATCTGCTCTCCTCTCTCTCTCTCTCGTTCTCTCTTTTTCTCTCTCTCCCTAGGCTCGTTAAAATACAAGTGCAAATGATGTGTAGTCGTTATCACAAACACATGTAGTCTGCCGCAGCCCTTGTTTCCTCTCCAGCGGTAGTGAGGCTCAAGGCCTGCAGTATGTATCAACTACCAGTGTAGTGCACATGGAAGTGTTGCGCAACCGTAGTTGGAAAGGGGGAAATCCAGAAGGAACTAACATGAAGTTTTTCTTGCAAAAAAATGATCGAAGGTAGGTTTATTACAACGCTGCTGGCTGTAGTGCATCTAACCCTGAGGGCAAAAGAATGTCGTGACTGCACAGGGTCCTAGTTAACTGCCAGGAGGCGAGTCAACCACGTAGTCAGTGACAAGGCAGTTGGGGTTCGAATCCCGCGGGGTGACCACTACCCTCGACAATGGAGTCGTATAGTAGGGGTCGGTGTAAATAGGGGTTGCAAGGATAATATGGCCTGCGTTGTCTCACAACCAACTGCGACAGCGGAGCACGGCCCTTTTGCCTCTTTACAGCTTTCCGTTGGATATTTGTCTTGAACCACGTATCAAGAACTTGAGCCAAAGCATCCATATGCATGAGTCGGCTGTTCACACAATGTCAAGAGCGCAAGATGACGTCCCGTGGGACGCTGTCCACCAAGCTTCCAGCTGAATGGTACTCAATCACGTGGTGAAGATATATGGCTAAACCGATACAGCCAAACCAGTGTAAAATGTGTGAGGGTGTTCCTCAATAACCACACAAGCTCGAGATCTGCAGCGCGATCGCACCTGTTTCCTCTCACTCGGATCGAACACAGGTATATGCAAGTCCATGCAAGACCATAAGCCCTGCTTGAGTCTTGAGCCGAGGCAAAAGAATTGGCGAACAACATATGGAAAGATAGCCATCCCAGACACCATGAATAATATCAGGAAACGAAAGCATCCATAAGGTAATAGAATCCATCCACGAATATCCGGGAAGCCATAGTCGTCGGAATATGTATATACATAGGTATGTGCCTTGGACATGTGGAGTTGTTTCACATCGAAATCCATTCCATCGTGGTGAAATCAACATGTTGCTGGCAATGGATGGGGTCTGGCCCGCACCATGCCGTAAATGCAACGATGATCCACCTCTGCATCACATAGGTCGGTCCACAATGGCCAGTCTAGTGATACGACGACGGAATTCTTCGTCCAAGTTGCGTTGGGCGTGGCTCGGGTATACTTCTTGTAGTGCTCGTCCGCAAGCCAATGTCCTTTCCGGACGCACCAGTGAAGCAGCGGTCCGTCACACTTGCCCGGGTCCGTGGCTGCAATGATAGCGCTCACGTCAACCTCATACCCATGCTTGACAAGGTTCAGTCCGGTCCTTGCGAATGATATATACTTGCAGTTGAGTGCCAGAGAGAGGCATCGGTAAACAATGTCCCCCACTGGATGTTTGCGTTCGCTGACCAGTAGTTTCATTTCTTCCTTGGTGACATCGAGGATAGTTGCCGCACTCCACAATTTGTAGAATATGTGCAGCCCCTTGCATTTGGTCGCCGAAAAGCGAATATATTGGTTGCGGTCCTCGACTGATCTGAAAGTCCTCGATCGAACACTCTGAGAATGAGAAATCTCTTCTTCAGAAGATGGTAAAACAATACCAGCACGATCAAGCACAGTGACGTTGGGGTAGCGCGCCAAGTCATTGTGGTATGGACATGCGGATGCGGGAGCCCCCTTAAGCGCGGCGTCAATCGTTCGCTTGTCGCCAGCCTCGAACATCCCCCACATCCTTGACATCTGCAGCGCAATGAACCCCGCTCATCCAAGCAGATTGCTATCTGTTGGGAGTTGATGATGTCGCGCGCAGTCATGTCATTGTCGCGGTAGTCTTCTTCGTTCTCTTCCACCTCAGACACATTGCCGGACGTGCACCCCTGCGTGCCCATCTCATCATCGTCAGGATCATCATCCATTCCATCATCCCTCTCTTGTGCTGCCGTATTACCATTCGCTTCCTCCTGCGCTCGCCTTGCATCCCCGGACACGTTGGGTTCGTGATCGTCATCATCGTCGTCTGAGTTGATGTTGACGTAGAACCTCCCGGTGGAAATCAATTGGGCACCACATTCCAGTCATATGCAGACGCATGTAGGAATCGTGGCCGCACAGGATGGACAAATCCGGCATCTCAAGCCTTCCCAATTCTCGTCGTTTAGGATGATGGTTTTGCTGATCTCATCTCTGATTTCATTGTCAGGATTTCCAATTCGTGATGTTGGCCGCCTCGAAACAATGCGCAGGCACGATCCACCATGTCTTTGACGTAGTGGAGGTTGTCGGCGCCAGCCTCAGTCTCCGGCGATCCCTCGATGACCTTAGTGACGTTCTGGAGGGACAGATTTCGTTCTCAACGCATTTCGAGTACGCCCGCTTGACGTTCTCGATGTCCAAGCATCTCCCCTCGTTGCATTTTTCCCGATCCATATTTAGAACGGGATGACGTCGAACACCATAAACGTCCCATTGAATGCGACTCCAGCTCCGTACCGTGCAGGAGTTGCACTGGGAACGTAGATGATCGCGATCGGATCCCCGACCCGCAGGTTGCGTAGCGAAGTCTTCGTCGCTAGGCGCATCTTGTCCCATGGAGCGAATGCCCCGAAGTGCCAACCGGTTCCCGCCACCAATTCCGCCGGGGACTAGCCGATGTTTGGCAGGTTTTCCACATATGTCACGTGGAAAGCACCTCCGAGGACGTCACCCATCCTTGCCGAATACCTGTTTGCAAGTGTGGAGGAACTCACCATGGCCAGTCGTGGCTCGAATACACCAAAGCCTGTGCCACCCAGCGCATCTGCTGAATATCTCGTTGACTTCATCCTGAGTGCGAGCCATGTAGAGCAATTCCTGCCTGGCAGCCCTCATGTCATTCGGATTCATGACGCTCGGAAATCTCGCTGCTAGAGCCTGGAATCTTGACTTCCTATATCCAGAATCCTGCCATTTCATCACCTCGACGATGGCCATGTAGCGTCTTTGTTTCGAAGTGTTCGGTGGGAATAGGTCCACCCCATAGTCCGTGATGATCGCGTCAATGTCGACCCATCCACCTTCATCACACTTGAAAGAACTTCCTCGGCAGTTGCCGATCTTGTGGCGAAGGATCCTGCAAAGGTCGTGAGATTGCTGGTTAGCTTGATCTCGCGTGCCAAACACAGAACACTCATCACCGATTCTGTCAAATGGAGCGTCATCAAACGGGTAAATGCGGGGGTTGGTGCTTTTGCCAGCTCCCTTCGGACAGGTGCCCCCGGCAACGAACCTCACCCCCGCCCGCTGTGTCTGTTTTTGACCAATGTTGATCGCCCGCAACCATTTGGCTCAAGGCCCTTCTGTACCATAGCAATACTCATGATTGCGTGACAAAAGGAACCTTTGCAGGCCGCTTACAGGATTATACAACAATACAATCCACCAGGGACAATCCATCCTCCAATCATCCATTTTTGCATAGTGGACTCTCTCCGGAATAGATCCAGGGACCACATAAACGACTCCTACTACCACAGGGTACCAGTTCCCTTCTGGGATAGGTACCCCCGTTTTGTGCAGAGATCCAAGGAAAAATGTCATCCGATGGAGAAGGCTTCATGGAGGCCTGTTCAAGTATGGCCAAATCATCCGGCTATACGGAGGAAACACTCAACTTACCGATGACCGCCAAGCAGCCGCCATCGTACGACGGAAAAATCAGATGGTTCAGGTATGAAGAACTCGTGGACGACTGGGTGACAATCACCGCGGTGGAAGCACCCAAGAGAGGACCACTCCTCAAAAGCAGACTAACAGGAGATGCTTACATGTACAAGGCAGTCCTCCAAAATGACCTTTTGCAAGATCCTGATGAAGGAGTCAACTATTTCAAGAACACGCTGAAGAAGTACTTCCTAAAAGGTGCGACCAACGTGCATCTGTACAGGCTCCTCAGTTTCTTCAATCACAGAAGGCAGAACCAAGAGTTCCTCATTTTCACATCCAAATTCGAAATCCTTCTCATGAGATTGAAGGCAGCATGGATGGACTTGATGCCCGTCTACACGGCACAGTCCCCATCATTTCGACAGTCCGTACAAGAATGTCTCTTCATTGCTGTTTGACATGAATCCTTCAAGTCCTTCTTCATCTTCAACCCAAAAGCCTTCTTCTCCTTCGTATTCACCTTGTTCGCGGATGAAGAATGAATGTGTTGCTTCGGTTGCCTCCTTGAGGTCGGATGGATGGATCTTGGATGGATGTCCTGGTCGTGATGAAGAGTTCATGGTAATGCGTCTTCAGCATCTCATAGGAGTAGTTCTCTAGTGAGATGTTTCTCAATGACATTGCGCTTGTCAGTCTCTCTCTTTGTTGATCTGATAATTCACTCTGAATGATGAAAAACTGTACAATGAGATTATCCCCTAAGGGAAATGCGTCCCGCTGTCTGTCCTGCATTCCCGTGATATACTGTCTGAGGACTGTCGGATCATCCTCATTTAGCAGGACTGGAGGCGGTGCTCGAGTACCGGCTGCTTGCTGATGTCGAGCAATTGTTCTGTTGTTTGCATCCGGGTCCTCGAAGAGAACGATGCGTTCATAGCAAGAAAAGTGTCAGGGCGGAATTTCAGATTCAAAAAGAGAAAAGGAAAAGGACAATCAGGAAACAAAAAGGGCAGTCACCAACGAGGTGGCTTTAAACCCTTTCGAAAAAGCGGTTCTGGCGGGAAGGCAAATATGGCCAATGAAAACTAGGATCCCTACGACCAGGCATATTGGGGGAAAAGGCAAAGGAAAGAAGGGAAAGAGAGGAAAATCCAATTTCCAATATCCCTATGATGGAAAACAAAGGTTATCCATCCTATGAGAATGGCAAAGGAAAAGGCGGACATGACAAAGGAAAATCCAAAACGTGCGCAGCCATCGCAGA